GTGACCAACGCAGCCCCACGGCCACCCAGAGTGACCCGCAGCGTCCAGTGGTGACCCAGAGTGACCCCAGAGCCACCCGGAGTGACCCCCGGCACCCCACGGACCCCTGGGGTGACCCCCAGTGTCTGGCAGTGACCCACGGGGGGACCCCGCAGTGACCCCCGGCCCTGCAGCCCCACGGGGGACCCGGCTGTGGGGCAGGGACTGACCCCCGAGTGGGGACAGAGTGACCCCTGAGAGGGGCAGCAACTGACCCCCAAGTGGGGACAAACTGACCCCTAAGTGGAGCCTGGACTGACCCCTGAGTGGGGACAGAGTGACCCCTGAGAGGGGCAGGAACTGAGCCACGAGTGGGGCTGGACTGACCCCTAAGTGGGGCTGGACTGACCCCCAAGTGGGGACAAAGTGACCCCCAAGTGGGGCCTGGACTGACCCATGGCAGGATGTGGGGCTGACCCCCAAGCGGGGCCCAAACTGACCCCCAAGAGGGGGACAAACTGACCCCTAAGAGGGGCCCAGAGTGACCCCCAAGTGAGAACAAACTGACCCCCAAGTGGGGCCTGGGCTGACCCCCAAGTGGTGTCCGGAGTGACCCCGGAGTGACCCCGGAGTGACCCCCAGTGCCCCACAGCGGCCGAGGCTGTGACCCGTGGCGGGGGCGTGGCCGGGCGTGGCCAGCGCTGATTGGCTGCTGCAGCCAAGCCCCGCCCCCTCAATGCTGTGTATTTATTTGGGGGGGGGGGCGCGGATTTTGCCAAATTTCCCTCCCGGCCCCGCTCGGGGCCCCCCTGGCTTTTAATAAACACCCCCAAAATCCCCCCCAAAATGTGGGGTGCTGTGACATCACTGTGACGTCACCGGGGTGGGGATGATGTCATCAAAGGGGGAATCACTGCGGGAGGGTCCTGGGGTATGGGGAACTGGGGGGACTGGGATGGGACTGGGATCAGAACTGGGATTGGGATTTGGGCCGGGACAAAGATCGGGACTGGGATTTGGATGGGACTGGGATGGGATTGGGATTTGGGCTGGGACCAGAACTGGGACTGGGATTGGGACCGGGACTGGGATGGGATTGGGATGGGATTGGGATGGGATGGGACTGGGATTTGGGCTGGGACCAGAACTGGGACTGGGACTGGGACCAAGATTGGGACTGGGATTGGGACCGGGACTGGGACTGGGATTGGGATGGGATGGACTGGGATTTGGGCTGGGACCAAGACACCGTAACCACAACCAGCCAACACCAAAAAACCCTGAAAAAAATCCCGTTATTCCAAATTTTGTTTAATTTTCCTTACTGAAACCCCCAAAACCCCGCTCAGCAAGCCTGGCTGGGGAACCCCCAGATCTGTGTCACCCTCCCAGTACTCCCAGTACTCCCAGCGCCCCCGGTGCCCCCGGTGTGGGTGCGCTGGTGGCGCCGGTGGTGCGAGCTGCGGCTGAAGCTCTTCCCGCAGAGCCCGCAGGCGTACGGGGCTGGGATGGGATTGGGATGGGTCTGGGACCACAACTGGGACTGGGATCATGATTGGGACTGGGATTGGGATCGAAACTGGGACTGGGACTGGGATTGGGACTGGGATTTGGGCTGGGACCAGAACTGGGATGGGACTGGGACTGGATGGGATGGACTGGGATGGGATGGGACTGGGATCAGAACTGGGATGGGACTGGGATGGGTCTGGGACCAAGTCTGGGACTGGAATGGGTCTGAGATCAGAACTGGGATCGTGATTGGGACTGGGATTGGGATCGAAACTGGGCCTGGGATTGGGATTTGGGCTGGGATCAGGACTGGGATGGGACTGGGACTGGGATTTGGGCTGGGACCAAGACACCGTAACCACAACCAGCAAACACCAAAAATCCCCAATATTCCAAATTTTGTTTAATTTTCCTTACTGAAACCCCCAAAACCCCGCTCAGCAAGCCTGGCTGGGGAACCCCCAGATCTGCGTCACCCCCCCAGCGCCCCCGGTGCCCCCAGTGTGGGTGCGCTGGTGGCGCCGGTGGTGCGAGCTGCGGCTGAAGCTCTTGCCGCAGAGCCCGCAGGCGTACGGGCGCTCCCCGGTGTGCGTGCGCCGGTGCTGGCTCAGCGTGGACTTGTCGGTGAAGCTCTTGCCGCAGTCGGCGCAGCCGTAGGGCCGCTCCCCGGTGTGGATGCGCCGGTGCCGGATCAGGTTGGAGCTGACGTTGAAGCGCTTGCCGCAGTGCCCGCAGGCGTACGGCTTCTCGCCCGTGTGGATGCGCAGGTGCTTGGCCAGGTCCGAGCTCTGCCCGAAGCTCTGCCAGCACTCGCCGCACGTGTTGGGGATGCCCGGCGCCGCTGCCCTGCGGCCGGAGCGGCCGGAGGGGCCGGACTGGCCGGAGCAGCGGCGCGGCTGCAGGGATTTGCCGCAGTCCAGGCACTCGTGCGGCCGGCGGGCGACGGTCAGCGTGGCCTGGGCAGGGCTGGTCAGTGTGGCCTGGCTGGTACTGGTCACTGCAGCCTGGCCACAGCTCCGGCCGGTTCTGGTCAGTGTGGCTTGGACAGGGCTGGTCAGTTTTTTTGGGGGGGGGGGGGGCGCGGATTTTGCCAAATTTCCCTCCCGGCCCCGCTCGGGGCCCCCCTGGCTTTTAATAAACACCCCCAAAATCCCCCCCAAAATGTGGGGTGCTGTGACATCACTGTGACGTCACCGGGGTGGGGATGATGTCATCAAAGGGGGAATCACTGCGGGAGGGTCCTGGGGTATGGGGAACTGGGGGGACTGGGATGGGACTGGGATCAGAACTGGGATTGGGATTTGGGCCGGGACAAAGATCGGGACTGGGATTTGGATGGGACTGGGATGGGATTGGGATTTGGGCTGGGACCAGAACTGGGATGGGACTGGGACTGGATGGGATGGACTGGGATGGGATGGGACTGGGATCAGAACTGGGATGGGACTGGGATGGGTCTGGGACCAAGTCTGGGACTGGAATGGGTCTGAGATCAGAACTGGGATCGTGATTGGGACTGGGATCGAAACTGGGCCTGGGACTGGGACTGGGATTTGGGCTGGGACCAAGACACCGTAACCACAACCAGCAAACACCAAAAATCCCCAATATTCCAAATTTTGTTTAATTTTCCTTACTGAAACCCCCAAAACCCCGCTCAGCAAGCCTGGCTGGGGAACCCCCAGATCTGTGTCACCCTCCCAGTACTCCCAGTACTCCCAGTACTCCCAGTGCCCCCGGTGTGGGTGCGCTGGTGGCGCCGGTGGTGCGAGCTGCGGCTGAAGCTCTTCTCGCAGAGCCCGCAGGGGAACGGGGCTGGGATGGGATTGGGATGGGTCTGGGACCACAACTGGGACTGGGATCATGATTGGGACTGGGATTGGGATCGAAACTGGGACTGGGACTGGGATTGGGACTGGGATTTGGGCTGGGACCAGAACTGGGATGGGACTGGGACTGGATGGGATGGGATGGGATGGGATGGGACTGGGATCAGAACTGGGATGGGACTGGGATGGGTCTGGGACCAAGTCTGGGACTGGAATGGGTCTGAGATCAGAACTGGGATCGTGATTGGGACTGGGATTGGGATCGAAACTGGGCCTGGGATTGGGATTTGGGCTGGGACCAAGACACCGTAACCACAACCAGCAAACACCAAAAAATCCCCAATATTCCAAATTTTGTTTAATTTTCCTTACTGAAACCCCCAAAACCCCGCTCAGCAAGCCTGGCTGGGGAACCCCCAGATCTGCGTCACCCCCCCAGCGCCCCCGGTGCCCCCAGTGCCCCCGGTGCCCCCGGTGTGGGTGCGCTGGTGGCGCCGGTGGTGCGAGCTGCGGCTGAAGCTCTTCCCGCAGAGCCCGCAGGCGTACGGGCGCTCCCCGGTGTGCGTGCGCCGGTGCTGGCTCAGCGTGGACTTGTCGGTGAAGCTCTTGCCGCAGTCGGCGCAGCCGTAGGGCCGCTCCCCGGTGTGGATGCGCCGGTGCCGGATCAGGTTGGAGCTGACGTTGAAGCGCTTGCCGCAGTGCCCGCAGGCGTACGGCTTCTCGCCCGTGTGGATGCGCAGGTGCTTGGCCAGGTCCGAGCTCTGCCCGAAGCTCTGCCAGCACTCGCCGCACGTGTTGGGGATGCCCGGCGCCGCTGCCCTGCGGCCGGAGCGGCCGGAGGGGCCGGACTGGCCGGAGCAGCGGCGCGGCTGCAGGGATTTGCCGCAGTCCAGGCACTCGTGCGGCCGGCGGGCGACGGTCAGCGTGGCCTGGGCAGGGCTGGTCAGTGTGGCCTGGCTGGTACTGGTCACTGCAGCCTGGCCACAGCTCCGGCCGGTTCTGGTCAGTGTGGCTTGGACAGGGCTGGTCAGTGTGGTGTGGCTGGTACTGGTCAGCGTGGCCTGGCTGGTACTGGTCAGTGCAGCCCGGGCACAGCTCTGGCCAGAGCTGGTCACTGTGGTGTGGCTGGTGCTGGTCAGCGTGGCCTGGGCAGGGCTGGTCAGCGTGGTGTGGCTGGTACTGGTCAGTGGGGTGTGGCCACAGCTCCGGCCAGTTCTGGTCAGCGTGGTGTGACCGCGGCTCCGGCCGGTGCTGGTCAGTGTGGCCTGGCCGGTTCTGGTCACTGTGGCGTGGCCGGTTCTGGTCACCGTGGTCTGGCCGGTTCTGGTCACTGTGGCCTGGCTGGTTCTGGTCACTGTGGCCTGGCCGGTTCTGGTCAGTGTGGCCTGGCTGGTTCTGGTCACCGTGGTGTGGCCGCAGCTCCGGCCGGTTCCGGTCAGTGCGGCGTGGCCGCGGCGCTGCCGCTGCAGCTGGACGCTCGGTGCGAAGCTTTGGCCGCAGTCCGGGCAGCTGAGTGGACAGTGGTCACCCCCGGGCTCCGCGCTGGCGTGGGGGCAGTCGGCTCGGTCATCGCTGTGGTCATCGCTGTGGTCATCGCTGTGGTCATCGCTGCCCTGCTGCTGACCGCTGCTCTGGGGGGGGCGGTGGTCATCGCCGGCTGTGTCCGGCTGTCCGGAGCCGCCCCGCTGACCGCTGCTGTGGTCACTCCTCTGTCCGGAGCCGCCCCGCTGACCGCTGCTGTGGTCACTCCTCTGTCCGCGGTCCGGGCTGGGTTTTGGGGGGTCCCGGATGGGTTTTGGGGTCGGAGATGGATTTTGGGGGGTCCTGGATGGGTTTTGGAGTCCGGGATGGATTTCAGGGTCTAGAATGGATTTTGGGGGGTCCGGGCTGGGTTTTGGGGTCGGGGCTGGGTTTTGGGGTCCGGGCTGGCTTCCCGAGGGTCCGGGGTCCCCCCAAACTCCGTGGCGGGCGCGGGAACGCCCCCCCGCGTCCCCTCCCCCCTGCCCCACCCGGGGGGTTCGGTCCCGGTTCCGGGGGTCCCGGTTCTGGAAGGTTCTGGAAGGTTCCGGAAGGTCCTCGGTCACAGTTCTGGCACTGGAAGCCTCCCGGTTCTGGAGCGCTCCAAGTTCCGGTCCCGGGTCCAGAGGGCTCCGGTTCCGGGTGTTGCCCAGGCCCGGTTCTGGTCCCGGTCCCGGTTCCAGTTCCAGCCCTGGTTCCGGTTCCAGAGGGCTCCGGTTCCAGTCAGTTTCCCGGCTCCAGTCCTGGTTTTGGCTGGTCCCAGTCCGGGTTCTGGTTCTGATCCCAGTTCCAGTTCCGGTTCCAGTTCCAGACGGCTCCGGTTCCGGGGGTTTCCCAGGCCCGGTTCTGGTCCCGGTTCCGGTTCCAGAGGGCTCCAGTCCTGGTTTTGGCCATTTCCCAGTCCTGGTTCTGGTCCCGGTTCCAGAGTTTCCCTGTCCTGGTCCCAGTTCCAGTCCCAGCCCTGGTTCTGGTCCCAGTTCCAGTTCTGGTCCCAGGGGGGTCCTGGATGGGTTTTGGAGTCCTGGATGGATTTCAGGGTCTAGAATGGATTTTGGGGTCGGAGATGGATTTTGGGGGGTCCGGGCTGGGTTTTGGGGTCGGGGCTGGGTTTTGGGGTCCCGGCTGGCTTCCCGAGGGTCCGGGGTCCCCCCAAACTCCGTGGCGGGCGCGGGAACGCCCCCCCGCGTCCCCTCCCCCCTGCCCCACCCGGGGGGTTCGGTCCTGGTTCCGGGGGTCCCGGTTCTGGAAGGTTCTGGAAGGTTCCGGAAGGTCCTCGGTCACAGTTCTGGCACTGGAAGCCTCCCGGTTCTGGAGCGCTCCAAGTTCCGGTCCCGGGTCCAGAGGGCTCCGGTTCCGGGTGTTGCCCAGGCCCGGTTCTGGTCCCGGTCCCGGTTCCAGTTCCAGCCCTGGTTCCGGTTCCAGAGGGCTCCGGTTCCAGTCAGTTTCCCGGCTCCAGTCCTGGTTTTGGCTGGTCCCAGTCCGGGTTCTGGTTCTGATCCCAGTTCCAGTTCCGGTTCCAGTTCCAGACGGCTCCGGTTCCGGGGGTTTCCCAGCCCCGGTTCTGGTCCCGGTTCCGGTTCCAGAGGGCTCCAGTCCTGGTTTTGGCCATTTCCCAGTCCTGGTTCTGGTTCTGGTCCCGGTTCTGGTCCCCGTCCCGGTTCCGGTTCCAGAGGGCTCCGGTTCCAGTCAGTTTCCCGGCTCCAGTCCTGGTTTTGGCCGTTTCCCAGTCCGGGTTCTGGTTCCGGTCCCAGTTCCAGTGAGCTCCGGTTCCGGGGGTTTCCCAGGCCCGGTTCTGGTCCCAGTTCCGGTTCCAGAGGGCTCCAGTCCTGGTTTTGGCCGTTTCCCAGTCCGGGTTCTGGTCCCGGTTCCAGAGTTTCCCTGTCCTGGTCCCAGTTCCAGTCCCAGCCCTGGTTCTGGTCCCAGTTCCAGTTCTGGTCCCAGTTCCAGTTCCAGTTCCAGTTCCGGTTCCGCTTCTGGAAGTTTCCCTCTCCCAGTTCCAGTTCCATTCCTGGTTCTGGTTCTGCTCCCGGTTCTGGAAGTTTCTCTGTCCCTGTCCCAGTTCCAGTCCTGGTTCTGGAAGTTTCCCTGTCCCAGTCCCAGTTCCGGTCCCAGTTCCGGTTGTTTCCCAGTCTCGGTTCTGGTTCCAGTTCCAGAAGTTTCCCTGTCCCGTTTTGGGTCCCAGTTCCGGTTCCAGCTCCGGTCCCAGTCCCAGTCCCAGTTCTGGAACTTTCCCTGTCCCAGTCTCGGTTCCGGTCCCAGTTCTGGAAGTTTCCCTGTCCCGGTTTGGTTCCCTGTCCCAGTTCCGGTTCCGGTTCCAGTTCTGGAAGTTTCCCTGTCCCGGTTCCAGTTCCAGTTCCGGTTCCGGTTCCGGTCCCAGTCCCAGTTCTGGAACTTTCCCTGTCCCGGTTCCAGTTCCAATTCCAGTTCCGGTTCCGGTTCCAGTTCTGGAAGTTTCCCTGTCCCGGTTCCGGTTCCGGTTCCGGTCCCTCCTAGCCCAGGTGCAGCCGCTGGTGCCGGATGAGGGCGGAGCTTCCCCCGAAGCCCTTCCCACAATCCCCGCAGGTGTAGGGCGTGGCACAGCCCAGGGGCGTGGCACACACGTCGGGCGTGGCACAGCCCAGGGGCGTGTCCGCGGCGTGCCCGTGCAGGTGCGCCAGGAGGGCGTGGCCGTCTGCAAACCCCGCCCCGCAGCGCGGACAGGTGTGCCCAGGCGCACAGGTGTGCCCAGGTGCGCAGGTGTGCCCAGGTGCGCAGGTGTGCCCGGGCGCGCCCTTCCTCCTCCTCCTCTTCCTCCCCTCCTCCTCCGGCTGCCCGTGGGCGCGGCGGTGCTTGAGGAAGGCGGAGCTGTAGCTGAAGCCCCGCCCACACTCGCCGCAGGTGTAGGGCCGCTCGCCCAGGTGCGCGCGCAGGTGCGCGCTCAGGTGGGCGCCGCGGCCGAAGCTCCGCCCACACTGGCCGCAGCCGAAGCGCCGCGGGCTCACCTGGCGCAGGGGGCGGGCCCGCTGGGGGGCGTGGCCCAGGGGCAGGTGCGTGCGCAGGTGCGCGTTGCGGTTGGAGCTGCGCGTGAAGCCCTTGCCGCACGCCAGGCAGGTGAAGGGCTTGGGGGGCGGGGCCGCCTGGCCACGCCCACCGCCGCGCCGGCCGCGCCCCCGGCGGGAGCCACGCCCCGA